TGTGGCGCTGAGTAAGTGCCTTTCAGCGCTGAGCAAGTGCTGCTGGTTGACACTGAGCCGTTGCATGTTCTCCCTGCCAAGGCCATGGCATCAACCACGTCCAGAGAGCCATCAGAGCCTTGGCAATGCAAAGGAAACTTTCAGTGCTGGACGCTGAGCAAGTGTCAAAAGTTAGACGCTGATCAAGTGTCACTGTTTGGACGCTGAGCAAGTGTCAAAGGCAATTTTCCAAGTACATGTCCCTGTTCAGCCAAATCAGTTGAGCATTTGATTTGACTTTCGGGGGAGGGGCGCATGGTTCGAAAACCATTGTGTTGAAGTTTGTGTTGAAGCCGACTCCCTAGTTGCAGGCCACGCACAATCACACACACCCGGATCGTTGCAACGCTTTGGCCCAGGGGCAGCAGTTTAACACATGAGCGCAACAAAAGCTTAGACATGCCCAACATATAACAAAAGCATAGACGTGCCCAACATTTATTACAGTTTTGGCTTATTTGGGAAGAGCAGGAAAGCAAAACGACATCAAATCACGCAACCTCCAACATATGTACTAAGTTTAAGCTTGGAACAACTCAGATTCAGCCCATGGGTGGCGAGAAAGGTGGTGGCAAGGGCGGCGTCTACGAGAAGGGCGGTGGCGGCAACAGGGGCGGCGGCGATAAAGGCGGTGGCGAGAAGGGCGGCGAGAAGGGCGGCTGTGAGAAAGGCGGCGAGAAGGGTGGTGGCAGCAAGAGTGGCGCCTACGAGAAGGGCCAGGGCGGTGGCAACAGGGGCGGCGGCGGCTGCGGTGGCGCGAAGGGCGGCGGCTGCGACAAGGGCGGCGGCTGTGACCAGGGCGGTGGCGAGAAGGGTGGTGGCAAGGGCGGCGCCTACGAGAAGGGCGGTGGCAACAGGGGCGGCGGCGGCTGCAAGAAAGGCGGCGGCGAGAAGGGCGGCGTCTATGACAAGGGCGGCGGCTGTGAGAAGGGCGGTGGCGAGAAGGGTGGCGGCAGCGGCGGCGAGAAGGGTGGCGGCAGCGGCGGCGAGAAGGGCGGCGGCAAGGGTGGCTGCGAGAAGGGCGGCAGCCAGGGCGGTGTCTATGACAAGGGCGGCGGCTGTGAGAAGGGCGGTGGCGAGAAGGGTGGCGGCAGCGGCGGCGGCTGTGAGAAGGGCGGCGGCAAAGGGTTCGGCGGTGGCGGCTGCGAGAAAGGCAGCGGTGAGAAGGGCCTGGGCGGCGGCAACGATATGGGCGTTGGGGGCGGCAACAAGGGTGGCAGTGGCGGCGGGGAGAAGGGTGCGCAGAAGGGCGAGAAGGGCGAACGCCACGGCCACCGGCACGATGCTGCGCAGGAGAGGCGCCATGAGGTTTGGCGGGTTCGCCAGGACCTGAGGCGGGCAGAGCGGGACCTCGAGCAGTGCGAGGAGAAGTGGGAGACCAAGCTGCGGTTGAGCAACTTGGAACACGACCGTGCCATGGCAATGCTGCGCAACAGCTTTGACGAGAAGTACAACATGGACATGAGCCAGCTCGTTGCGCGGCACACCCATGAGCTGGTCACCGCCCAGGCCCAGAGCACTCAGGCCCTTCAGCAGAAGGAAACCGAGCTCAGGCGGTTTCAGGACGCGTGCGGGACCTGGGAGGCCCACTGCAAAAGGCTGCAGCAGAGGGTCGAGACCTTGCTGGGAGACCTGGAGGTGGCGCTGAAGTCGAAGCAGAACGAGAAGGTGGCGATGGAAGCTAAGATCTCCACCTTGCAGGCGGCGATGCTCAAAATGGAGGCTGACCTGAAAGAGAAGCAGCAGCAGGATCCTGGGATGAAGAAGGTGCGACTGTCCACCTATCACTGTGCTGAATTGAATCAAGCTTGTCCAGGCTGAACAGCGAGCCGCCTCCAGCAAGTTCAAGGCGAAGGCGCATGTGGGGGGTCGGGATGCCCAACACCAGACGCTGGACAAGTGTCATGGACGCTGAGTAAGTGTTCCGGACGCTGAGTGAGTGTCCCAGACTACTAAGATTGGGAAAGTGCAGCATGCAGCAATCAACATCAAGCATCATTGACACAAAATGTGGCAGGCGCAGCCTAGGAAAAGTGCGCTGGCGACAGAGCCAGAAGCAGCGCAGCAGTGTCAGGCACGTCCACCAACGAACGCGCAGTATGGCAATTGCATGTTGCGCCAGGAGCCCTCGCAACCGTCGAAGAGGAAAAGATGAAAGAAGTGAGTCTCAGGAGGGCCAGGGTTAGGTGTGGCATGCTCAGCAACTAAACTGGACCAAGCTTCTGCGACTAACACTGTGCCAGGATTGCCAACACCAAGAGGCAGGTGGCTGGGTTTAAGTTTCACTTTATCAGGAGGGTTTAGGCATGCTTGACAAATTCGACGCTGACAAAGTGTCCCATGACGCTGAGCAAGTGTCAACACAGGTCCGGAGAGAGAGAGAGAGAGAGAGAGAGAGAGAGAGAGAGAGAGAGAGAGAGAGAGAGAGAGACAGAGGGAGAGAGAGAGAAGGGAGAGAGCGACAGCCAGGTGCAACACTGCTGAGTGGTGAACATATTGGCAAACAGTGAACATCGCGGGCCAAAAGTGCGAGAGGGGAATTGCTGTGCACACATTGCTGCACACATCGCCCATTAAGTTTGCAAGCTCACTTGATGGGTTTAGCGCAGCCGAGGAACGTTCTGGCAGCTGGTCGCGCAGCGTCGAGGTCCTGAGGACTGACACAGTTGGGGGGTGGAGAGGGAAGGACACATAAGGTGTTGCAACCAAATCCCAAACAAAAGATTTGCTAACATTTCTTTCAACCTTCAGTGGATGGCAGGCTTCGCGTGCGTCTTCAGGGGAAACCGACTTCTCCACTTGCTCAGTTGGGGGGTGGAGAGGGAAGGACACATAAGGTGTTGCAACCAAATCCCAAACAAAAGATTTGCTAACATTTCTTTCAACCTTCAGTGGATGAGGCTTCACGTGCGTCTTCAGGGATGAAACCGGCTTCTCCACTTGCTCAGCGCTCACTTGCACTTTCTCAGCGCCTAGGCACTTACTCAGCGCCTTTTTGCTGTGCCCTGTAAATGGATGCGGCTTAAACACCCAGTCATGGCTGTGTGTGGTTGCACAGTGGATTTGCCAACCAGCTTCTCCAAGACTCAAGTGCAACCAGCTTCTCCAAGACTCACCTGTTTGGGCTTAAAGGCAGCAAACAGCCGAAACGACAGAGCACTTACTCAGCGCGCTTTGCACTTGCTCAGCGCGTAGGCACTTACTCAGCGCCTTGTTGTCTGTGCCCTGTAAATGGATGCGGCTTAAACACCCAGTCATGGCTGTGTGTGGTTGCACAGTGGGTTGGTTCTACCACCTCTGGACGGCCACCAGCAATGTGCTCACACAGTGTGTCAAAAGGTGAACTTTTCGTGATGTGACCAACCAGCTTCTTCAAGACTCAGCTGTTTTGGGTTTGAAGGCAGTAAACGACCGAAGCGACAGAGCACTTACTCAGCGCTCTTTGCACTTACTCAGCGCATAGTAGGCACTTGCTCAGCGCCTTTTTCTTTGCACAGGCACTTGATCAGCGCCTTTCTGTGCTTTCGACCGGCTTCGACCCTTCAGCCCTGCCTTTGCCATGCTTGTCCTTTAGTAACCTTGGCACTTGGCCAATCTGAGTACCTGAGTCTACGGCCTGCAGGAGAATTGGTGGAGTAGGGGCTTGAGTGGGACTGGCTCAATATGTTAAAAATGCCTCAATGTTTGCAAACCGCATAAAAGGGGCAAAGGAGTTGGGGTGTCTTCACTATTGGGGCCCACTGCCTGGGGTTGCGGCGCAATGCATGTCAGCAAAATGTTTGAGTGAGCAAAGACCGATCACAAAACAAATTGAAAACAGTTTGGCCTGAAACCTGCAAACATCTTGCATACCCAAAACTCAAATACCAACTAGGTGCTCAAAGCCAAACTGCAGCCCGCCAAAAGGCACAGAAGCCAGAAGAAAAGGCACAGATGCACAAAAACAATCTTAGGGATTGGCCGGGGATCCGCTTTTCGAGCTGGAATGCCGGATTCCAGCTCGAAAAGCGGATCCCCAAGACAACCTTCATCACGGCCCCCTTTCATCAGGAGGGATTGGCCGGGGATCCGCTTTTCGAGCTGGAATGCCGGATTCCAGCTCGAAAAGCGGATCCCCAAGACAACCTTCATCACGGCCCCCTTTCAGGAGGGATTGGCCGGGGATCCGCTTTTCGAGCTGGAATGCCGGATTCCAGCTCGAAAAGCGGATCCCCAAGACAACCTTCATCACGGCCCCCTTTCAGGAGGGATTGGCCGGGGATCCGCTTTTCGAGCTGGAATGCCGGATTCCAGCTCGAAAAGCGGATCCCCAAGACAACCTTCATCACGGCCCCCTTTCAGGAGGGATTGGCCGGGGATCCGCTTTTCGAGCTGGAATGCCGGATTCCAGCTCGAAAAGCGGATCCCCAAGACAACCTTCATCACGGCCCCCTTTTCAGGAGGGATTGGCCGGGGATCCGCTTTTCGAGCTGGAATGCCGGATTCCAGCTCGAAAAGCGGATCCCCAAGACAACCTTCATCACGGCCCCCTTTCAGGAGGGGTCCGCTTTTTCCGCAGAGACTGTGCTTTGTTTTTCCGCACATTTGGTTGTTTGTTTCCGCTCTGCGGGGTTCGCACGTTTTCCGTGCGCAGCGCCAAGCCTCGTCCTTTTAGCAGGGGAGCAGAAAGCAACCGAGAATGCCTGTGACAATTCAAGAGCTTACTCCTCAGCCTGTGTGGACAGCGCTATTTTGCTTGAGGGTCGCCGTCTCGATTCTCGAGCGCGTTGCTCAGCATGTACCCCGTTTGGTTTGTTTTAAAGGGAAACCAACAGGAAAACAAGTCAGCAAATTTGGGGTATATCCTCATCATCAAGAGAACCTGTGTGTGTTTTTCCCACGCATGGTTTTGTTGGACCTCCCAGCATGGGCGGATCAGCCCAGCTTGCCTTCTCTTCGTCGCATTGGCCAGCGCTCGACAGGTGACAGACCCGCGTCCGAAGGCCAAGGCGAAGGCGGGTCTGACGGAGAGCGAGAGAGAGGCACAAGAGCCAACTGACATGGACTCTTAATGTTGACCCCATATTCACTTTGGGGCATTTTGCTTGGATGTTAGGACTTTAACTTTTTGCCAACTAATGGGTTTTCCATTAACCCACTAAAAGTTATGTTTTTAGCAGGGGAGCAGAAAGCAACCGAGTTCATCAACCCCAGTTTATTTATCATATGGGCGTTGTTCCCTCCCAAAGTGGTCTGATTCCCCACATTTCACCCAGGGAGAAGCACCACACAGTAATAAATTGGTTGGTTGATGAACATCTGGGGTCAACATCATCAAAAGCGCGGGCCTTCCAGCCGGACCGTTTGCCGACTTTCAGCTGGCGAGTGGGGAGAGCAACGCTTAGCTCCCCTTTTTGTTTTTTTGCTTTTTTGGGGTTCCCTTTGTTTTCCACTAACCAGGCAAGAAAGGTAATTTCTTTGCTGGGGTCCCTTTTTTCCAGCCAAGTTGGGTGGGGTTGACATGACCTTCCTTCGGGCCGAACAAAAATGATTCCAAACACCAATTCTTTGGTGCATTTTGCTTGGCTGTTAGGACTTTAACTTTTTGCCAACTAATGGGTTTTCCACAAACCACTAAAAGTTAAACTTTTAGCAGGGGAGCAGAAAGCAACCGAGAATTCGTACTTCGACCTGTCCACCTGTCCTGAGTCCACCGCGAGGCCAACAGCGAAGCCGCTGCCACACCCGAGGGAGACACAGGCGACTAGTGCATGGCAACTTGTAGCAGAGGGCCATAGACTGCTGGTGACGTTTTGACCGAGCTTCGTATTTGCAGGAAGAAACCTGCACGCCGAAAGCAAAAACGTCAACGAGCAAGAAACACACGTGCAAAATCATCGGGATGTACAAGATCTGTCCGGCCAACCCCAAAAAAAGTTGCATTCGCTGACAGTTCCCCGCGCCCTTTCGTAAGCAGCCATTTTCTCAGCTCCTACCCCTCTTCCAAGAGGATCAGACTAGAAGATTCGGGGGCGGGTCCCCCATGGTGCAGTTGCATGAGGCCAAGGCATTGAGTCTTTGGTGCATTTTGCTTGGCTGCTAGGACTTTAACTTTTTGCCAACTAATGGGTTTTCCGTATTAAACCACTAAAAGCTATTCGCTTTTAGCAGGGCTTCGCAGATTTCGCAGCCGAGTGGTTGGGTTATAGAGCGCCAAATGAGTGGTTAGCTCGCAAAGGCCACCAGAGTCACAAGTCAAGCGTGGCTTGATCTATGGAAAACTTCTGGCCACCGCATGCAAGGTTGCATCATCGAAGGTAGCCGGTAGGTATGGATGGCATGGAGCCGTGCTGAAGAAACTGCCAAAGAAGCAAACAAGAAGCAACCCGCGGCAAGACTCCAGGAGGCTCATGCAAACACGAAGGTGATCATCGCCCCCTGCCACCCACTCCAAAAAGCCACGCTCTCATTCCCCACTTCTTTTTGTTTTTTTCAGGCGGCGCACGATTTTTTCCCGTGTCCCCATGCATTTATCGGAAAACATGGTGATTTTGATGTGTAGGGAGTGATGCTTGTTTAAGCATCAGGAGGGCATGAGGTCGGTGTAAACGGAGCCCACCCAAAGGGTTCCCCTCGAGTCATAGCCCGTGGGGTTCCAATCTGTGAGTCATTCACGTGGGTTCATGGCCTCCCGAGCCGAGTGATGTTCAAACGGCTGTGGGTCAAGAATATGTACCCCAAATGGAACCCTGGCAAGTGGAAATATGAACCCAAACCTGGTTTTTTGGTGGTTTAATTTTGAAACGTACCCAACTGTTCCTTGTTTAAAGCACAGCTGGTTTGTCTGGGTGTTCTTTGCTCCGGCCGAAATGGAACATGGGCCTGGCGAGTCTTGCCAAGATGCAGGCGAAACAGGTCCAGGCGTTGCTTTTTGGAATCTCTGGAAAGAATCACTGGTAAACTTTGGGCAGACCCTTCTGCGACCAACTCTTGTGCGTGGTTCACCAAACCACCTTTTCCCGTCAAGCACAGATGTGTAGTCTCCTATGCTTCTGGTTCTTTGGGACCTCTTGGGGGACACCGAATAAAAAAAGGGGGGTTTTCCCCTCAACTCCCGCCAACTCCCAAAACTCGACTTTGGGTTCTTTCCGGGAATTTCGGGCGGGGGCGTTTGTTTTTTGCTCTTGTTCCGGGCAAAAACGCCGCACGCCACTGGAGAGACGGCAGTGGAGGCGGCAGTGGAGGCGGCAGCTGAGCGCCAGCCCCGAAAAAGCGCAGCAAGAGCGGACGGCCGGGTGTTGCAAGCAAGAAGCACGTCCCTGGGTTGAGGGGGACGTGGAGAAGAAAAAGTTTGGTTAGTCTTGTTGGCCACCCTGCACAAGAGGTGAGGCAGTTGAGAGCAAATTGTCAGAGGGTCGCCCACTCCCCTGCGACACGAATCCCCGCTGATTTTGAGGGTAGTGGGGCAGGTAGGTGACCCTGCGAATTTGACCCTGTTCCAACAAACATGGAAGTGGATCGGGGTTTTGGAAGATTACCGTCTTTTTGCAAAGGCCCTTGATCCAGAAGGGATAATTACCCCGATATCCTTGCACAAAAGAGACAACTTTGAGGATCACTGAACATGACTCAACCATGGTTGTTGTTGGGAAACCTTTTGGATGATTGCTTATTGCCAGTTTAGCGGTTGGAATCCAACCACTTAACTGCTAAATCAAAATGCTCCCCAACCAAGCAAGCATCAAACTTCTTTCAGGTGGCAACAGCCGAGGTCAGCAGCCTGCGGGACAGGGATAGAATGCATGAGGTACACGCCCAGGAGGTGAAGCTTCTTTTTTCCGAAGATTTCCTGACTGGGTCCCTCAAAGAGGGTTCCCAGTGGTTCTCAAAATGTCGTTGGGGCAGTGTCACATGAGGGCATTTTTGTTGGGGGTGTCACGTTGGTGCCCCGCGGTATTGGGACAATCGTGTGCAGGGCCGGAAAAGGTGTAAAGAGATCCCCGATGTTCTCATCAAGTTGCTGGCCATCGAATTCTAAGCACCAACCCAAACTGCTGGAATCAGATTACACGTACGCGTATGATATCAAATGCCTGCGTTGTGTCATGCATGTACATATATATATATATATACATATATCAGTTGTTCAAAGCCGACCTTTTGACCTTTTGGTTTTCCCATGTTGGTCTATTTTTAGTCATGGCCCCAAAAGGTTAACCTTTTTGTTCCAGGTCCTTTTTGCAACTGATATATATATATATATACACATACACATTATAATACGCGTCTATGTGCACTTTCGTGCTCATGTTCATGGTTTTGTGTTTGCGGTTTCAATTACGGCAGGCCACAATGTTAACCCCGGATTTCTACAATCCTGGTTGATTTCGATCGGGGGGTGTCCCCCTTTGGTGGGGATTCAGACCACTTTTTGCAGGGAACAGCCCCCTAATAATGGGACGGTTGTATGAATCCTGGTCAACATGACTGGGACCATTCGATTTTTGTCGAAGCTTCGTCACCTCGAAGCTTCTGCCTTCGCCATTTGGCTCCAGGGGGGATGGGTTGGGCGCCCTATGGGTGCCAGCCCACCCCAAACTAGGGATGATACTAAATGCGGCTTGCTTTGCAAATGAGCGCCCCCCCTGACGTTGGTGTTAAAAGGATTTCATCCCTACTGGATATATGTTTATTCTTTCCAGGGGTCTTAGCCAAATGAGCCACAATCAAAACCCGGGTAGAGCAGGCTAAGGGACAATCCCATTACCATAAATAGCTGCGGATGTCCGCCTTCTTAATTGTTGGAGCATGGTTCTGGGTAGAGCATTTTACCGGGTTTTGATTGTAACTCAAATGAGCGCGAGTTCGTAGACTTGAGCCTCCCACCTAACACGGGTTTGTGCAACAAGGCCGTAACTCACCAAGAGGAAAGTCGTCTTTTTTTAGAGGGGTTTGTGCACAAACCCATGTTAGCTGCTGGGAGGGTAGCCTTCTGGAAGACCAGTGCATGAACTTTCGGGTCGGGCCAATAATAAGCTTCCGAGTTGAATCGCTGGATAGGCTGGTCAAACCTGTACGACCGTTTTTGCGCTCCGCAAACGCAGCGGATCAAGCCTTGCTCTGGGAAAATCAGATGTTGATGTCCTCTTGTGAACCAAGCAAAGTATTCCCAGCTACGAGTGGAAACCCTAGATGCACCAGATTCCAGGGTGACCACAAGGCTCAAATTGGCTTTTCACTATGTATTTTTCCGGCAGAGAGATGCTTTTGGTCACTTTGCGAAGTGCAAGAGTGTCCCTTCCTCCAGATCTACTGCAATTTGTTGGCAGGCATCGAGCCCAGGCTTTCCATCAGCCTTTGGAACCTGACAAGGAGCCCTCTACATAGGTTCCACGTAGGGCAATGGAAACCTAGGATTACGACTCCTGCCATAGTGCGGGGGGCTGTCCGATTTTTGAATCCTTGATTTGGGGGGTTCTTGCCCTAAGTGCTCCAGCAGGTTGCCAGTGTCGCCAACGAGTCCCCTTTGAGATGTTTGATCCGGCCCGGATCCGAAAATGCGCGTCCCCTGCGCCTGTTTGGAGGGTAAAGCTCTTCGGGGATTCGGAGATGGAGTTCTTTCACGTCCAAAGGGCCTCAACCGAAAGCCTGCCGAAAGAGCCAACAACTGTCCGCAAGCATTCCCTAAGCATTCCCTTGGACCCTCCTAGGAGTCATGACCTTCATTGGAAAGTGTTGGCGCTCAAAACACCAATTTTTTAAGACCCCCAGATGCGGGGTGCAAAGCCTTCGGCCTTTCGGCCTTTTGGCTCCTGGTGGTCCTGTTTTGTTGCCTGGACGAAAAGGCGCCAGGAGTAGCCTGGAACCCTCCAAACTGCCCATAGGATGGAAGCGAAAAAAGATCCCATAAATGAAGAAACATCGCTGAACCAACGCTAGAGATGACACTCAACTGGTGTCATTTTAGTTTTATACTGTCGGTAAGGGAACTCAGGATTTTTGTGTCATTTTTCCTGGGTTTCACCATCCCCCGTCTGACGGTGTCAACAAGGCCAAGGGCCAATCCCCAATCGCTGAGGGGCAGTTTCGTTTTTTGTTTTTTTTCCAGCGAATTTGTCCGGAGCGAAGCGGCCCCCAAGACGCGAAGCCCAGGTAGCTTTGCTGCTGTCTTGGCTGCAGCTCATCGCTGGGCGAAAGCTGGGCTTCCTGCCCCTCAGCCACACGGGGCGGGTGGTTTGGTCGGGGAAGCTGGGCGGTCCAAAATCCAGCCGCAACTTGGTGGTGGATCCCAGCCATCTGGTTCCTTAGCTTCTTAGCTTCTTAGTGTTTAAGTGAGTTTAGCGGGGGTTTCCGATGTTTAAGCCACTAAGAGTGAAGCTGTTTGCGGGGGATCTGAGGACAGCCCAGACAAGAGCCGGTTGCATGGCTTTCTTTGTAGGATGAAACCTACCTCCGTGTTGAACCAGCCAGGGCCTCACACGGATTCAAAAATGTTGGCTTGAAGGTGTCCAAAGCTGCTCCAAACAGCCAACCTCAAATTGCTCCTGGGACCTCAAACCTGCCTTTTTGGAGATCCAACACCAACACCTGGAGATCCCTTTGTTTTAGTGCAAGGGTCTTAAATGATGCTTCTATGTTGATCTAAGCGTAGAACCCATGATGCTGGTAGAAAATGAGTGAAGTTGACCAGGCTTTCACGCATCTCGTTCCAACAGACTGAGCGATGTCAATGTTGCGCTGCTTGTTGGTTGCTGGCGCTTACGTCCGGTCAGACGTTCTGGCGCAAGTGCTTCGGAGATTTACAAGACTGGCTCTACATTCACATCGCGCTGCTGATGTGTGTGCCTCCTTTGAAAGAGTTTGATGCCGGAATCAGTTGGCACCATGCTTTCGACCCACAGAAACGACCTGTGTTTCGACTCGATTTGTTGGCGACACCTCAATAAGTAAAGTCATAAAGGCAATCTTGGGTGTCAAGGAGCCAAACAATGTTGTAGGTGTTTCCCCAAAAGGAGGGTGAATAGGTTCATCCTGTTCAAAGTCCCTAAGCAGTATCAGCTTCTTTGGCATGCAACAAAAGGTCACAGGAAAGGCCCCCACTCGCGATGTGTCGATCGGAAGTGGACGGACCTTCGGCCATTCTGAAGGCTGCAAGGGGACCTGTGCAAGCTTGAAAAGAAGCCCTAGGTTCTCATTGTTGCCCATTTTAGTACAGTAGATGGTTCTGACGTTTGGTTTCATTGACATTAGAGTAAGGCTGCAACAGCATTTTTTCAGCATGTTGGTAGAACCACCGGTCAAGTGACATGGGTGTTTTTTCAACAATGACGGACCCCCCCGTCTTTTGTGGTATTTGAAGGGGCACCAACAGGACGCCGATTCCTTTGAGCACATGGGTGCCCCAGCCTAAGGACAGCGCAGCAACAGGGCTTTGGCGGGGAGACAGGCCGGACAGCATCCGATGCGCCCGCTTGGCTCGAGCCATTTGTGGGTATGGGTGATATTGAAAAGGGCCAGGAGATGGACCGCAGGTGTTCAAGTCCACGTGTCAAAAGCCCTTAGGGCTTTTGGGTACCGTCATTATGAGTACAAACTCTACCCTGCAACATGGAGGTCTAGCGTTCCGGCTGCAGATTGCGCGCGGCACTTCGGGGTACCGTCCTTTGGAGTCCCGATCAAGCATAGATGGGTCCAACACGGGCGCCCAGTTCTTGCATTAGGAGATTTAAACGTCCATGTTGTGGCTTAATTTGTTTTGTTAGTTTCCTTGATTTGGAGTGTTGGGGGAACAGGGAGCGGGAAGGGAAACAGCGCCACCCCTCCAAAGGGTTTTATTGGTCACATATATATTCTCGTGAGGCCTTTGCACACATGGGTGTGGTAGGATTACGCAGGTTTTAGTCTTTGGTTCCATTTACCAAGGTGCCATTTTAGTACATGTGTCTGAGCCACAGCCACATGTGTATGACCAGGTAGAACCCAACATCAATACATGTTGGTTGCTTCTTTGCTTTGGAGGCTTCAAACTGAGCAGATGGCATCAGGAGAAACCACTTTGCAGAACCCCGAGCATGCATGGTCCCTAAAGCGAACCTTTTGAGGGATTCTCAACATGACGTTTGGTGTTGCTCCCTGTAAAACCACCATGAACGATACCTGATGTCATTTTGATGGAAGCTGGCGCTCAGTGAGGCTTGATCTAGAAGCAAACATGATCACCCTCCATTTGGCTAAGGTGTTTTTTCTCTCCCCTGTTGGTCCTTACTGGAAATATGTTTATTTTTCCAGGGGACTTCAGCAAATGGAGGTCACCTTTTCGCAGACCATAGCATCAACTAGCCTCGCTGTTGGGACATTCATTTGCTTGCGAGGCGCAGTGCGGGGGGCAGAACACGCCGAACAAGCGTGGCACACCTTTTGACCATGTGGCTGTGGCTCAAAAAACCGGTACCAGAATGGAACCCTGGTAAGTGGAAACACGGACCAAAACCTGCGTAACCCCTCCTGTTTACTTTTGAGCCACCTCCATGTCTTCACTTGGTGTTGAATGCACCAACTCACTCAGGCCCTAGAGTTCATCCAGGGTCAAGGGTTTGACGGATCCAGATCAGGGTGGGTTTGTGTGTGGATGTAAACAAAAAAAGCTTGGTGTCGCACCCTCGTTCAACCACACACCCAGCCTGCTTTGGTGCTCGGAGATGTGTAAGAAGACGGTCGCACGGACAAATGGGTGTGGCTCAAAATTCAAGAACTAGGGTAACAGCCAAATGGCTCCCCGCCGCTCTCGAACGTAGCGAGCCGCGAGCCCGGGAGGTCGCCTGGCGCACCTGACTTTCAAGCTCAAGGCCGTGCAGTTCAAGAATCCCAACACTAGGCGGGCGGTGTACGCGGCCAGATGTCGATCTCGTGTTTTGGGGGGGGGGTTGGCGGGCGTTAGCGGCCAGATGTCGATCTCGTGTTTTGGCTGGGGGGCAGCCAGGCAGGCAAAAAGCTGGGAAAATCTTAAGGAGGCGCCAGATTGAGCTGGTCCTGGCTGCGAATTTTTAACCGCCAATTGTGGGCCCTCATAAACAGGATGTGGTTGGCCCATGCCCTGGGCGTACTTGATCGGGGGGGGGGCCAGCCGTCCAAATTTTGGGAAGCGAAGACGATCCGTGAACACGGTGGAACCATGTGCACTGATGCGTAGATACGTCCCTAGCATCTTGTGGGTAGATAATCGTTTCCATTTATATGTGCAAACTCAGGCAGGCAAGCAGGCAGACAGACAGACGGAGAAACACGCAGGCAGAGAGGCAGACATACGCATATAGTTACCACACACATATATATATATATATATACATATATATGTATATATATATATATAGGTTTACATGCACATCGACACAAACACACATAGCCAGTATACGGAACTTATATACACATGTGCATGTACCCTGAGTCTCCATGACCCTTTAAAAATGGGTACATGACCTCTTTATGTTGGGCAATTACCCCACTTTTCAAAGGGTCATGGAGACTCTAGGTACATATATACGCAGATAAACGGCCCCAATGCTGCTGTCACGGAAGCCAGACAAAAAAAATCAATGTCCAACTTTAAGGGGTAACCTTATTCTACCCTCTCTACTCAAAGACCTAGCACTGCTCATTCATGTGCGGACAGCTAAACAACATTTGAAGCGTTTGGCCCATGGCCCAGTCCCAACTCAAGGTCAGTTGAGTTCTGAAAAGGGGATCGCGTTCTCGGCCCCGAGATGTTGGTTGGCATTTGTTGACGGTTAACATTGGTAACATGGTCAAACGCAACGGGCCCACCGAACCGCTGGGGCCCGCCCGGGTCGGCCTTCAAGGGCCCAACGCCATGGGGGAGTGACGATGGAAGGTCGTGGAAGAGCATAATCCTCATGGCTCCCCTGGCCATGGGTTTTGACAAATATGTAGGTGTTGCCTGAACAGGAGAAGGTTCGACCCCCTATCTTTGCGAAGAACCCAATCTGGATCAGATTCACGTCTGGGCACTTCCGTGGCTGGTCCTGTTGTTGAGGCGTCAGCTGGGGCGATCGCATGAAGCAGTTGAGGGGCATGCCCAGCCTCAGGTATGGCGAGCTTGGGCGCCTACAAATTCTCACGTCTACTGGGACGTGCCTGACATGTGAGGAGGGACCTAGGGCTGCTGTGGCAAGGTGTATCCGGGAAAAGCCCCTTGAGTGGGACTGGCCCCTTTTGACCCGCTTTCAACCCTGCTTACCCACAGATGGACGGGGTAGGTGTTTGCCCGCTTGAAGTACACGTACCAGGAAGCAAGCATTCATACAACCCAATCCTGGCAAACCACTTCTAAATGAGCAGATTATTGCCAAGGGTCACTTCTTGGCTTTTGAACAGCCATTAGACGACAAGGGGCATCATTTTCGAGAGCGGTATTGCTTGGGGCAAAACGAGCTCTCCCAGCATGTAGGTTGCTTCCCTGGATTCCGTGCTTCGAGGTAGTTCACAGGGAGCTGAGCGCATGCCGACATCCCCTTCCAGTGGGCCAAGGGGAAAAAACGGGGGGGGGGGGGGGTACTGACCAAAGTCCGATGCCGTTGTGGATATGAATGAATGTTGACCGAACCTCCGCCCAAGATTGTGGCGTTCGTTTTTGGGGGCGTGGCGGTGGCTGTCACACGGTTTCCGGGAATGTTCACCCGCCTAGGCGATATTTTCGTCCCTGATGTGTGGTGCTCCTGGTCCAACAACCCGGGGTCCAAACAATCAGCTCTTCAAAATCGACCTTTAGACCTTTCAGTTTTCCCCGTTTCGGCAACCATGTTTAGTCATGGCGCCAAAAGGTGATCACCTTTTTATGATTTTTCTGGGTCCCTTTCTTGACCAACTGAGCAGAGGAAACCCAAACCGGGGGGGGTGCTTGTTGTTTTCCGAGCCCCGCCTCGGCTGCCAAAACCGACGGCAGGACTCCTCAGTTTGCAGCTCACCCAACGAGCCGGAGAGCCAGGAGCGTCCGGACATTTGCACGTGGAGGTCTGGTTGCGGAGCAACAAACCATGGGAGGTTGCAGGGGTGCGTCTTTGATTTAGGGAACCACACAATTCGCGTTTTTCCTTCTGGTGTTCCTTTAAAACCGCAAACCATGATGCGGAAGTTGCAGAATTGGACCACCAACCAACAGAATTTAAGCCAAAGAACCACAAACCATGGCTCCCCTTCTGGATGCAGGTCCACCGGCTGTGTTCGGGACCCTTGAGGAAATGCTGCAGCTTCTGGATTCCGAATTTGCCAAAGGCTTTCTCAACAAAGCTGTGGACATGTGCACTTGCAAGCCTCGCAGGTCGGCATCCTTTTCTCAGCTTGTGGGAAAGGTCCAAGCGTACAGGCCGGAAGAGAGCAAACTAAGGTCTGGTTGCTAGCAGCTCTGCGGGCTGGGGGGGATAGCGGGGGGGGGAAAGCAGGCCGCAGGACCTGCCAAATGAAGGGTTGGAGTAATATGCAGCGATTCAACTGTTGAAATCATGGTTGCCACCCAACACCCAGGATATGGTTGTTCAAACAAGTTCTGCCCAACCCTGTTTGCGTGTGCCCTTTCCAGATGACATGCGGCCAAAGATGAGGACAGACTTATGTTTTTGTGTCTCTTTGTGTGCTTGCTTGCCCGCTTGCTTCTTTCTTTCATTCAGCACTCTGTTCAGTATTTCTTTGGATGGTTGTGTTGTGCTTTGCTGTGCTGCGTTTGTTTTGTCATCCCATTGCTGTGCACTTGCATTGTGTGGTTTGCCTTTGTCGTACTGTTCTCACGAGTCTAAAGTCAATGTAAAGGGGCAATGCAAAACGCCCGATTGCCACAGCCATGTGCCCAAAATGGAGCCCTGGTAAATGGAAACATGGACTAAAACCTGTGGCCTCCTGCTGGCTTAATTTTGACCCACACCCATATGCTCATGGTCCTTTGATGTGTAATGTTACCCTACTCCATTCCCTGTCAGCCCGTGCATGCGCTTGTTCCTTCCCGTGTTGCAGCTTGGTTTTTGAGTTCGGGTCGGGTGTCGGGACCGGGATAATGAGGGAGCTGTCGTGCAGAAAGGCGTTTCCCTGGGTTCATTGATGGCATCAACCGGTGTGTTACACAACATGTTCACTTAAGCCTCAAAACGGTGGGTTAACGGGGGACCCCCAGGCATATATATATATATATAGAAATATATATATATATATATATACATGTCTATATATATATATAGTGTAAGAAGCCTTCTACATGTGGCCCTTTTTTGGCCCTACCTTGCCGCAGAGACATTTAGGTTTCTATTTGAGCCACTCGAAGCGTACAGAAAGTATCTTGCTCAAACAACTTCTGGAAGTGTGTTTCAATTTATCAGTGGACCGGGGGCAACATGAGAACGAACACCCACAAACTGTTTGAATCCCCCCATTCCCCATAACAAGGTTTCCGGCGAGGGATATTCGCTTCGAGGAGTATCTGGTCGAGGCTGCCTGTTCGAGCAAGTTCGTCTTCGGCAAGAAGTTTAGCTCCCCGGCTTTGAAGCGCAGCCAAAACTGGTTTCAAAGCTGGGGGGAGCCTTGGGCGAGAGATGAAGCTTCCATTTGCTTCACAGTCACAATCAAAACCCGGGTAATTGGAGGGTAGTAAGGGGCAATCCCAGCCATAAACAAGGTGCGGCCGCCTTTGTCATTCTTTACATGGTTCTGGGTTCACCATTTTAGCACCAGGTTTGGATTATGGCTCACATGTCTTGTTGTTTGTTGGTTTTGAAGGGAAGCTATCACTGGACATCAGGGCCGTAGGATAAGACGGATAAGACCTGGGGTCAATTTCTGGGGGTTGATTCCTTTTCCATCCTTTTCAACCATCGTTCTTTTCAAGAACCAGCTACACCTCCCTGCGTTTCCGGAGGCTTTCTAGAAAGAAGGATCCCTGGAAAGAATGGAAATGGAAGGTACCCCTAGATTGTTGGTTTTTCCATGGGACTTATCCCCACATGGAGGGAAGCCTCTTCAGGCCAGGGCCGAGGCTTTCCCGAGGTCCTTTTCCTGGAGGGATATTTGGGTTTGGATCATGTGAGTTGTGCTAGGTCCCCCAGCTAGGTGCCCTTCTCTACCCCTTTTTTGGTTGGGAGGGTTCCCCTACTAAAATAGACTACAGAGAAAAAAAGGGTACCCTTGTTCTAGCCTCTCTACTGGAGGACCAGTGTGCTGCACTTCAAAAGTCCAAGGTGAACCTTTTGAGTTCAAAAGCGGGCACGTGAGTTGAAACCATGTCAAATGTTATTTTGTTGCAGGAGAGGCATCATCAGTCCTTCTTATGCACCACCTCCAAAAAACTAGTCGTTGTTTTTTTTTGGGGTGGGGGAAACGGAGTATGTATCCTTTTTGTGGTGGCTACATCGTGGCCGTACCCCATTTTCAGCCTGCCCGGTAGCGGAGGGGGAAACCATCTTGGACAGTCTTTGTCGTTGGCTTCTTGCCCGGAGCTTGCCATTTGAGCACAAGGTTGGCAGTAGGGGACATGGGGCAAGCGAGTTCCATTATAGGCTCTTTGAGGTCAATGATAGATGGCGCTGCTTGCAGTTTGGTTCTAATCATCTCCTTACCTCTTAAAAACACAACGTTTCAACTTTTTGGGGGTAACATGGGCTATATGTCTGTAAAAGATTAACTTCCCCAGGGCTTGGAGTTTTAAGGGGTAAGTCTCATGATCACCCCTGATTGGGAAAGGGGCTCCTTTTCGCCCATTCGACGTCGACCAGGTGTTTGGACCAGCCCCCAAAGTTGAGATTCTTGGAGGAATTCCCTGATTCATCTGGAGCCCCATTCGGTCCTCGTCCTTTTACTTCCAGCCCCTTCCCAGCCAACTGAACTGGAAACTGGAACCTGTAGGCTTTGATAGTGGCTTAGCATTAGTGCATGGGTCTAAGCGTAGACTAAGCAAATACCAAGCAAAAAGGAAAGCCTTTTTTCTGGCAGGTGTTCTGGCTTGGGGGCTGACCGGTATTAAAGGGGGAGGGCCTTAGTATTGGTCGGCCAGGAATCTTGGAGGCCGAAGAAAAACCTTTGATCGGGGGGTTTGCTAATCGTGCACTGCCACTACCAGTGCCATTTTTCTGAAAGGTCACCGAGGTGCCCCAGTTGTGCCCTTTTACCTTTTTTTGGAGGAGGGTTCCCCTACTAAAATAGACTACAGAAAAAAAGGTACCCTTGTTCTTAACCTCTCTACTGGAGGACCTAGTCACTTTTGGCTCGTTTGTCACAAGGAACAGGACATCTGCACAAACTAAAAGGAGCTGGCGGCCGATGCGGGGTGAAGGGTGGGGGGTATAACGAGCTCAAATCCAGATCCTGTACCGATTCACGTGTTTGCTGTTTGGGAAGTATAGTACTGTTTGGCACCCAGACGAAAGTGGTTGGCTGTTCGTTGGATCACATGGGGCCGGACCCCATGTTCCCAGCTTTCAACATGTCGCGGTCCTTGCCTTTGTCCACTGGTTGGATATGGACAGCCACACTTCACGTGGGGAAAAGCCGCCACATTTGACGGCCGTGGGCCACTCCAAACCTTTCCGCACCTTGACAAAGCAAATAAAGGTTGATCAAAAGGTCCGGTAAACATGGGATGGCCATTAGGGGAAACCATCAAACAGATTTGATATTTCCCACATGGGGAAGTTACCCATGGTCATTTGGGGGTCAGGAATATTGATCAACTCCCAAATGCTTGACTTGTTCAGGAATGTCAGACTCAATGTCGCAGGAACCTGTTCGATGCAGAGGGAGATGAAACACAGAGGTCCTATCTTGCTCTGAGCCAGACTGAGAAGCATACGTTGGATGACCTCTCAATCCAGCGCCCAACTGGTTACTTCCATGAAGGTTCCTTTTCCAGGTGGCGATGTCTCATATCATGTTGAGATTCTCAGCACAAAGGCCACTGGTTAGGCCCAGGTTCCTTTTCAAGCGGGTCCATGTCTCATGTCATATTCAGATTTTCATGTCTAAGGCAGGTTGCAGCCAGGCACCTGGGGATTGGGGATCCAACATACGTTATGCACCGTACGCCCACCGCCCGACGTTTTTGTTGTTGTTTCAATCTCAGGCTGGAAGGTGCAAGCAGATTCCAACGCCAGTGACATCGTCGCCGCTTGGCGTTGGATGGCCGGTGGTGTTTCAGCACGGAGAAAGCGCCATCTTGGTCTGGAGACGTAAACAAATGTAGAAATGTACTTGGTAAGGTTCACTATCTATTGGCCAGAATCGACCTTATTATGCTTTTGGTGGGCGCAGAAGCTAGGGTATGGTTGTATATATGGTTGTTCAGCTCTTTGGCTCGATCGAAATACAATTTTGAATTGGAAATGGGGGGGTCAAAGGAAAAGCAGCAAAGACACCTGGAAGCCTGCTTTACTCACTCCCTGTGGACGGTGTAGCTTCACTTCTCTGTCTTTTTTGGGGCGCAAACAAACAGTTTGTTTGTTCCGTTTGCCCAATTTACTCGAGCAAGAGCAAGGGTTGTGGCTTGCGTTTCTAGAATTTCTAGACATCAAGACATGGCTCAAAATCAGAGCTGGCGGAAGACCAGGTCCAAAAAAACTTGGAAGAGAATGGGGCACCAACTTGCCTGTCTAAGGGTGGAAGTACATACCCCTTGTTCATAGCCCTTGGCTTCTGTGCTTTCCAACCCACTTTATAAGATACCCCTTTTCGGGAGCGGATATGGTATGAACATCGGGCCTGTTGGGTTCATTTGTCTGAGGGGTATGTAAAAGGGGTATGTCCAAGCGTTCCGGGAGGCCTGCTGCATCTTGATTTGTATCTCACCTCTTTCCAGTCATGGAAGTGGACAGGAGCCTTAAGAGGGGGGTAGTCGTCCAAGCCCTTTTGTGCACCTCCGTTCTTTGGAAGAAAAAAAGAGGACAAGAGGGTGACCGTTGAAGCTTGCTGAACACGACAGTTTGCCCGAGAAAACTATAAACATGTTTTGCACAGTGGGCTCAGTTCGACCAACTCAGTTGGGTGCGTCGAGCCCCTGTCGGTAGGTGCGTCTTTTGTGGCAACCAGCAGAAAGCCGCACATCGTGCCCTGGTTCTTACTGGTACATGATTTTTGGGAATCCATCTGAATTCACAAGTTCTGACTGAGTCGACCTTCAAGCTTGTGGGAGCCCTCCTCTTTGAGACCCACCCAGTTAGTCACATCTATAGCAACATATTTGTCGTTTAAAACAATTATACAAAATGACAATACATATTCCAAAGAGCAACCATGAAATGTCTAAGGAGACATCGAGTTTACAATTGGAAACAACAATAATAATCATGTGTAGTTCCCCTTGACTTTATAACAATAAACTAATACTTAATATCTACATCCCCTCCATCTTTTTTATTTTTACTATAATAGCGTGCTAGGGTTTGGGGACCGTTTTTGGACGGTTTGAAAGGAGGGATCAAGATTAGCGCAGCCAATTTCACTTTCAGGGTCCCACAATTCTTGAAAGAACCGCTCATGTCAGCTCTAACGCAACATCAAAGTGGAAATAGGCACCACGACTCCTATTAATTGGGGGCGATCTCTGCACCTTTTAAGTGGGTTCACTTCGGGCTCCCTGAATTTGCAACTGTTCTAGACCGAAGCTTGGAGTCAATCATGAGAGAATCTCTCATGTTTATTTGATCAACAGCTTGGTAGATCCCAATCTTTTGATTTTCCCTTCCCCTCCTGTCCACCAGCACGGCACCGACCAAAGGGCCCACCCCCAAGCCAAGCGGCCCAACCAGAACCGAACCCGGCGGGTTCCAACGACATGAGGTAGCAGCTGTACCAGCTGAGGTGTTCCTCATCCATGAAGGGTTTTTGACTTTTAAGAGCTGGTAGATCCTGTCATTGCATTCTGCTTGGATGTTGGGACTTTAACTATTCGCCAGCGACTGGATTTTTCATTGAACCACTAAAAGTTTAAGAACCAAAAACACTTTTAGCAGGGGAGCAGAAAGCAACCGAGAAAAGCAGTTGCTAGATCCTGTAGTTGTTCGGTTTCCCCGCAGTTTTTTACCCAAAAACACACTGGAAATCTGTTCCTCCACCCCGAAAGATCAGAGAGCGGATGGAAGGTGGAGATCCCGCTCAAGGCGGTGAACCATGAGCAGCACTTCAAGGCGCCGGCCCTTGTTGCCGTTTTTTTTTTTTGTTGGTGTGGTCGTAGGGTCACAGAAACCGACTCGAGTCACTTATCGCCAGTGTTTGATACATCAGTTCTTATCATTTCTTATCTGTTCTTGTTTACATTCACCCACCACTTCGATGGCCCTTTTACTTCAGTTCGTTGGACGTGAATCCACGGAATTGTCCGCTCGTGGCCCTCCACAGCTGTTTTAGGTCGCCTTTCAGATGCCCTTTGGTACCTCCGTCACACCTAGTAGTGTCCTTTTTTCTTGCGGGGCAACGTTTAGCACGTTCTTGATGTGACCTTCAGTGCCCGTTAGTACTGGGGTGTCAGTTTTGGGGGCCTGCCCCCATCGGCTTTGTTCGGTAGGATTGGTTAATTACTCCAACAGCTCCCGTTTATACCATGACATTTGGCACCAAATATGCGTAATCTTCGCGCAAATAAAAACGGCTAAGTAGCCATGGTTTTATGATACCATTTGGTTTCAGAGCCCCCCACAAAGCCATTCCAATCATTTGCAAGCCCCTAAGCCGCTTAGATCTTTCCAGATGCCCATGGTTGCCCCTTTCGGGGCCCTTCGCCTAATGGAAGGTGTTGCCAAGGGCCCGAACAATTGACCAACCCGGGCAGTGGAAGCCAGTGGCAAGCGACTTCTTGTGGTAACTGCGGTGAAGCCTACAAGCAAGTTGCTTCATGCATCGCTTGCAGATACTAGATGTAGATTGATGGGACTGCCCAAGGTCCCTAGATTCGAAAATTTGGCATTTAACATCCGAATTTGGATAGGTTCACCCGAATCCTGTTGAGGAACGCATCTCCAACTTGTTGGCTTGCCAAATATTTGCAAACATTTGTTTTTCTTTCACATTCCTCCGGTGGGATCATGTTACTAGATTCACTGCTACAGGCGAAATGTATGCCCCCCTTGTATGAGCCCCTACAATCGGCTGGTATGGGTACATGCTATAGATCTCCCGATGGGTCAGCTTGCGACCGATTGATCAGGTTCATTGCATGGGCGCCGATCCTGATTCACTCAGAGAGATAGATGTGATCCTACATCTATACTATCTTGTGTCACGACTCGGGTGTTTTTTATTGATGGTCCGACGGAGCTTATGTTGGAGCGGTGTTCAGGGACAGAAGGTAAAGCATAAGTCTTCAGGGGTGCCCCCTTTTGAAGAGAGGTTTTACGTCTTGGATGTCGAAGCCACTTTGTGAGTCAATCGCAGGATGACTCGCCGAGAGATGAATGCGCATACAGCAAGAGCTGAAGGAATCCATGTCGCATGACAGCTAGGTCCCCCAGTAGTGCCCTTTACCCTTTTTTAGGGGAGGGTTCCCCTACTAAAATAGACTATAGAACAAATGGTATCCTTATTCTAACCTCTCTATTGGAGGACCTAGACAGTGACACTTGATGTTGTGCAATTTGACTGGAAGTTGCTTGCAGCCTTGGGAAAATAGGGGGCTGGTCCTCTTACGCTATCCGGCTTACTTGCGATTGACGCACAAACGCGGGACCTATGGATGAAGCGCTCTGAATTCTTGGAGAAACCACATACCAACTTGTGCACAGCGTGCATTTGTCCACGCGAAGCGGGTTGAACATTCAAGTAAGTGGAAAGATGTTTGCTGCACCTCCGAAACCACTACCCCCAAGGCAGAATGGGTGGAGGTATATCTAGTCCATGTCCAAAAGGATTCTCCTCTAGAGCTGGCTGTGTTCGATGGTCCATATCAATTCGGAGTGTAATTATGGATGCGTCTCTTTGTAAGACACCCCCGCAAAAATAAGAAGTAGTTGTTTTCTTGCGGGCTTAGTTCTGAATTCGACCATGCCATTTACAAAAGGCAAGCCTCACTTCCCCAGTTGCTAGGCTGTAAAACATATATTTTCCTTTTGGCGTCCCCGTAAAACAAATCAAAAGGGTCATTCCCTCATTCCCTGATGAGCACCAGCAAGTATTTCATTATTCGAAACCCGTGGTGTTGGTAAGTCAGATAGACGTTCTTGAAAGCCAAGCAACATGACCCCCATGGTTCTTCAAATGGGCGTGGCTCAAAATTAAAAGGCTAGGGCAAATCGCAGGGTTTTTGTCTTTGGTTCCATTTCCCAAGGTGCCATTGTGGGCTCCATGTTTGTGAGCTGGCCTTTGGAGCGAGCCAGGCGGAGATCACCACGGCGGTCCAGGGCTCTGGGAGCAACGACCTGGAGCACCAGGGCAGGCGGGAGCGAGTTCCGGAGATGGGATTCGGGGCTTGTAGGGATCACTCGAAGTTTTTCCAACCACTTCTGTGATACAAGCATTTGGGTTTTTCAGTGCCCTCTGCCCCTTTTTTGGTTGGGAGGGTTCAACCCTACTAAAATGCCCGTAACACCAATGGTACCACCCATTTTAGGTGCACCACCCATTTTAGAACCTATTTTAGAGGGGATTGGGATGTTCACTGGGAATACGGGGTTTTGACCCATAGCCAAATAGACTATGGGACCAGCTTCTTCTAACCTCTCAAACCTGGAGGACCTAGCAAGGGATACAAGTTGGATTTCCCTCTTTGGGGGGGTCTTTGGGTTTTGAAGCTCGGCCCTTTTCGTCCGGCTGTGAAATTTTGCGACCACAGCCCTCGGATTCCGTCGACTATGGAGGTGTCCTCCATGGAACGCTTGGAACGCTTGGAACCTGTGGTAGTAGTGCTCAGTTGCCCAAAGCGAATCTTCACCTTTTGACCTTTTGGGGTTCCCTTGTTTGGTCATTGGTCAGGTCCTTTGACCATGTGTTTCAATGGAACCCACCAGTCAATTGATCAACTGGGGAAATCCACTGCCGTCCGATCGGGGATTCGAGCGAGGGATTTGGAGAGACCTGCGAAAGGTGATGGGAAGTTGCGAAAAGCAACTGAGCCGAAATCCTCGCTGGGGATCATCAACTCGAAAGTTTGGAGATGAACTCTGAGGGCGGGCTGTCAAATTGGGATGAGACTCTCCTTTGGTGCATTTTGCTTGGCTGTTAGGACTTTAACTTTTTGCCAACTAATGGGTTTTCCACTAAGCCACTAAAAGTTAAACTTTTAGCAGGGGAGCAGATTTCGCAACCGAGTCTCCAAATCTTGACCCCTCAGTCCTTGGGCACGCAGACCGGCGGAGTCCTCGTGATCTTGTGGGGCACGGGTGTATAAGTCAAGGGCCCATGGCATGACTTCAACCAGGTTCGTTCTGGAACCCAGAAGGCAAGAATCCCGCCCTGGTCGTTGTAGATCCAATCAACTTTGGGTTCCGGACAGGCATGGGTGGTCACCTCGGTCGCCAGCGTTTCCATGTGACACTTGGCTATGTATCTAGGTTGATACTGGTATCAGTGTTATCGATATCTCACTATCACTCCCAACCAGTTTCTGGACTTGCAATGTTTTGGATCGTTAAATTCCAACCGAACGTAAAAAAAAGATAGTATCGCTTCGCCTTTGAACCGTATCAACCCTTTGGGCAATATCAGGCGATTCGAGTGCTGTCCGTGGCAATTCGCCCGAGTTGGGCTTTGCTACTCAGCTTCAACGCGGGTTTCCTGTGCGTTTTCCGTGCTTCGCCTTTTTTTTCTGCTTGGAGCCCGCCAGGCAAGTCACGCAGTGGAGCATGACGAGCGTGATCTCATCGGCAGCGGCCCCTCGGCTCCGTTGCAAGCGCCTCGAGGAATCTATGGGCATGCCTTTCTTTGAGGAACCCCTTTTAGGTCGCCTTTAAAGGGAAATCAAAGCTTTGGCGTATTTTGCTAGGATGTAAAGGACTTTAAGTTGTTGCCAACAAATGGGTCTTCCATTAAACCACTAAAAGTTAAACTTCTAGCAGGGGAGCAGAAAGCAACCGAGTCAAGGGAAGCCAAAAGGACGACCTTCATTTTGGGGGGGCCTAGAAAAAGACAGATATCGTCAACAGCTTACCCCTTCAACTTGAGGCTCCGACATATTCCTGTCGACTCAGCTTTGTTCCGAGGGTCTACCCGATTGAGCTCCGTCGAACTTGGATATTTCTCCGTCACTCAGTCGGAGAACGACCCCTCAGCCAAGTTGCCAGTGATTTCGAGGATCCCTTCTGTTGGAAGCCGTTTGGTAAGATCCTTCCAGCTGGCTTCCCGTGCAAGAGACGCGATCTATGGAGTTCAAACTGCTTGCCCAGTCGGTTTCTGTGTTTGTTGTTGTCGGCCAACCCAAAATAACGCCCGTCGTTTGTTTCGACAAAAAGTAGGGGTTTCATACGGCCAAGTACGGGCATCTAAAGGCAAACCACCGAGGAAAAAAACAACAAAAAGACCTTCCCGGTCAACCGCGGGCCCAAAAAATCGCCTTTTGGGCCCTTTTCCCCCTGTATGGTGGAGAAAAGGCCGTCCGGCCAAAAACACAAGTGAGCCATAATCAAAACCCGGGTAGATGAAGGTTAGTAAGGGACGATCCCAGCCAGAAATAGTTGCGGCTGCCTTCTTAGTTCTTTACATGGCTCTGGGTCGACCATTTTTGTACCAGGTTTTGATTATGACTCAAGTGGCCCTTCGGGGAAAAGGCGATCCGACTCCGCGCCGAGGGCGTGGCCTGGGCAAAAGTGCCGGTGGTCGTCACTGGCGCGGCTTGGCTTCCGGTTGATTTTCCCGTGGCAAAACGCGCCTTGTGGTGGTTTTGCGGCGGTTTCTTGGTTTTTTTTGCCAGGGGGTTCGGTTTGGGGGGCTTGGCGGCCTGCTGGTTTTGGAGGGTTTTGTCTGGTTTTGGTGGCTTGGTAGTTTAGATGGTGTGTTTTTTTGGTGTGGTTCGTGGGAGGATCGTATGGGTTTGGGTTGTTTGGCGTTTTGTGTTGTGTATTTTGTGTTGAAGGGGGAAAGAAGGAAATCCAGGAGTTGGCCAACAATTACTTTGTCTTCGGGTTGTCGTATCGACGGGGAGGACAGGACCGAGGCATCCAGGGGCAACAAATGAGGGTTGCTTCACCTTCGGGTGGAGCCTTCGCCGGCTTCCCTGAGTTTTGCTTTCCAGGGTCCCATGTCTAACTCGTGCTTACCGATCGAGTCAGATGGGAGCAACTCTTAGCAAATGGATCCCTATGAAGGAAATTGCACCATCTCAAATGCTTCATGAGGTTTGGTCAAACTCTCCAGTCTATGACTTTTTTAGGGGGACAAAGGGACGCTCTAATTGTCCCACCAAACCGAGCGGAGCTACCCATGTCCACAGAGATGGTTGCAGATGTTGACCATTGTACATGTGAATTGAATTAGGGTGTCATTGATCTGCACAAAGTAATTGACAGGCCCTTGCTTGCATTCCTTATGAGTTTCCAGCTGTGCATTATAATACGATAGTTGCATAATTGCCCCGATTGATTTGTAACAATCGACTAGCAATCAGCAGCATTCCTTTGCAAGAAACTTGCTGGGATCACGATACTGCTGCATCCTTCAGCTTTGGTCTAGCAAAAGCTTTGAAGCTGTTGGCGGTGTCGCAAGAAGCCATCAGAGCAAAAAAACATCCACGGGGGCTGGCTGGATGGTTACAGACCTCTACGGATGTGCTCATGGTCATTTGCTGGTTGATTACTGGGAGGCTGTGCCGTTTTGGGGAGGAGTTCTTCACTTTGGATTAGTAGGACGCAGGTCAGGGAAGCCCAAATACAGCCAACTCCGCTCTTTGAGCTTCTGATGACAGCGGACCCATCTGTCTTGTGCTGCCACGACTTCGTGGTTCGTCCTGGCACCCCTTCTGAAATTCTTAAAACAAGGGTCGGTCCCCTTTCAGGACAAGCCAATATTTGAATACCCGACAACATTGCCGCCAAGAAATGATAGGGGCCCGCCCAAAGCCGACACCCTAGTAATATTATGCATAACTCACCCCCAAACCGGAGTCAGCGCCGGGAAAAAGAGGCGCCCTTAAGTCCCCGTGATCAACTTTCTACTGGTCACTTGCAAAGTGGTGAACACGCCTGCTTTTGCGTTGGCACCATCAAGTGGAAATAGATCATCAACCAACCCAGAAGGCTCTGGATATTCCACCAACCAAGAAGGCCATCCGCCAAATAGGCTTTTCATGTCCAACCCGCAAGAAACACGTAGTCTCGTTCTATCCTGAATTGGTCTCTAGTTTGCAAGGTCAGCTTAGATACGGTTGGGCTAGGAGTGTTTTTGAGGTTACTTGTGGGATTGGTGTAATGTTGGCCCCACATCAATCAACCCCAGTCTATTAATATTGGGGTTGGCCCCCTCCAAAGTGACTCCCCAATAAACCCAGGCACACTCCCAGTACTTGGTGGCTCCCAGCCATCCCCTTAGCTTTTAGCTGATTCGTGTTTTTGTGGGGGCTTCCATTTAGCCCGTTAAAAGTTGAGGTTACTAAACTGGACATCCTTTTTTGGGGGAGGGTTCCCCTACTAAAATCAACTACAGAAAAAAATGGGTACCAGCTTCTTCTAACCTCTCAAATCTGGAGGACCTAGCAAGGGATACAAGTTGGATTTCCCTCTTTGTATGGTGGGGTTGGTCAGTTGGTCAGTTGGTCAGTTGGTCAGTTGGTCAGTTGGTCAGTTGGTCTTTGGGGTTGGACCTAGTTCATGCGGCACCATTCGAACCAAAGGCCCACAAGGCTAGGCTCACAAGTCATCGCGAGGACTTCTCCAAGGCGGTGGCCAAGCCGGCCACCATGGACTTGCCCAAGGATGCCGAAGACCTCTTCGAGGAGCCTATCAAAAATCGACTCGATCGACTCGATCCATCGAGTCCCCCCGAAATAAGAAGCCGGCGGAGCGGCTTCTTAGCCTTTGGCAGGGCTCCGTTAAAGCAAAATATGGTTGTTAGAAGAAAAAAAGAAGAAGAACAAAACCATGCAACCATTTGAAAAACATGTTGCTTTTTCAACGCGAAAATAAGGGGATCGCCATCGACAAGGCAATGTGCAGGTGTAGAAAGTAAGGATCCCTGTTTGACTTGCGGCCCCATGGAGATCTTGCACAAAGAAAGCTTGCGCTTGAAACTTGACAAAGAAAACTTGCAGAGACGAAAACCCGTCGCAGAGGACTCGCTGAGAGAAGATTACACGATGTCCCTGAACAGAGAAAACTTGCACAGAGAAACTCGCGCAGGGAAAAAGGTGCAGATAAAGCTCGCACATCGACCTTTGCACAGAGAAGCTGGCACATAGAACTTGCCCTGAGAAGCTTGCTCGCAGAAACGTGTACAAATAAACTTGCACAGAGCAGCTTGTGCAGAGAATATGCAAGGGTTGCAAAAAGAACCTACGCAAAGAACCTGCGCAAAGAACCTGGCAAAGGAAGCCTCGCCACAATCATGCCGCGTCACGTTTTGCCAGCATACGCTTGCCCTAAGCTTGGCAGGTTTCTGAATTACATGTTCGCAGCTCAATGCTTTTGGGCCATCTTTCGTCCAGTCAAATTTCCAGCAACCCCTACCAGAAACTCTTGATCCAGACCCCTTCACTCCTCCGGTGAAACGTTGACTCTCGCGTGACGAAATGGATGTGCCTGTCACTTAGACCCCCATGATGCGCGACCAAAGCACGCAAACAGCGAGGCGTTGTGTCTGACTGGACGAAGCAAACGTGTTCCAGTGACCCCGTAAAACAAAGGCAAACGGTGTGGATACTTGAAGTCTTGGCCACTTGTAAAGGCTGCAAATGGAACGTTGCTGGAACCGCTTTCGGATGTGCCCCATGATTCATGATGACCCCAAAACGGCCTCAACACATGTCCCATGGTCCTGAGAGCGGACCTCTACCTCAGCCTCCCAAAGCCATGAACCATGGTTGATTCTGGCTGGGAACTGGAATGCACGAATCTGTCATAAAACAAAAGGGGCTAACCCCAAAAGCTAAACATATAAAGAGAGGGGATTCCCAAAAGTATCACAAAGAATGTCACAAACAACTTGTATCATGATTCCCACTGACTAATAAAAACTTCGAGTGATCCGACAACCCGATCTTTTCTTCCGCCGGCCTGACATGGGGGTTGGTATCCTTTGAATGGTAGGGGTGCAACTTGCAACCCCCTTTTGTGACACGGGCGATCATTCCCTCACTCCCATCCTCACTCCCTGAGTTGCTGGACTTTGTACTTGTTGGGGACGACCACTTTGGTTTCAGGCAGATTTGTTGGACTTGTTCTGACCAATCCTCTCAGGAAGTGAGTTCCTAGCTTGGCTGCTGCTTGGTTGGGTCTTTGCCGTTAATTTGCTGCTTGAAGATGTTAACCTAAGCGTCCTTATCAACCAGCAAAATGTTGCAAGTTTTTTCTTGCTGGCCCCCAGCCGTCCCCTTAGCCTTTTAGCTTTTTAGTGTTTAGCAGGGATTTCCGAATGCCCACTAAAAGTCACTCTTCTCGCGGGGGATCTAAGAACGGACTGCCCAAGTTTGTGGAGGGGGCATTCGCCTCAGGACACCTGCGCGCAGCCACCGAGCATCACCAACTACACTGCGCCTTGGGCGAGT